TGCGACAATGATAATCTGTGATATTTTACTTTTCTATCTTTCAGTTTTGCACAAAGCGCAGAACTTCTTGCATCAGTCCCGAGTTCACTGCCTTTACGCAGCTGTGCTTGTTGCAAGACGTCAGTATGAAGAAGCGGCTACTTTCCTCGAAGAGCACAAGGTAGTTCACCTATTCAAGTGACTGAGTCAGTCAAAACTACTCCGACTTCCCTTTGAAAAAACTTCGATTTTGTGCTTTTCGAAGTTGAAAGCTTTTTTTAGGATGAGATTGATCCACTTGATTGTGTTATGGCCATGCGTTTCATGAATTCATTTAAGGCAAGAATGGTAAGTATTCATAGGACACTTGTAAGGGGCATTCTTTATTGTCTGTTTTTCTATTTTGGCTACAGATCGATGAAGAGTTCATACGGCAATTCGCAGAGCTGTGCCTCAAGCATACAAAGTTTGTTGAGGACGCTGACGCGATACGACAGATGCAGGTTGACTGGATCCGTACATGTGGTAGGTATCTGTTTAGTTTACTCTTCTCATCTAGAATTTCGAAAAGAGTAGCCTTCGTTTCCCAAACTAATATAAATAGAAACATGGTCCAAAAGTCGAAATTGTGCAAGTGACACAAGGTTGGCGGCTCTTTGTCGAAACTCTGGCTCCAATTGGCTTAGAAGCTGTCCGTACTCGTGCGCTTTCTGAGCACCATGCTCCTCATCCTGTACACCAACGAGACATCGCTTGCTCTCACTTCTTCGTGGCTCTCATGCCATAGTTTACCAGCACTCGCACTTACTACGTACGAGTTGGCCGGCTGATATCGGCACTGAGCCGTTAAGCTAAAAGCTTTACTTGATGTAGCTTTTTTCTTCCCTAACTAGCCAACCTTATAAGACTTTCGGATCGCACACTTCGGCAAAATAGCTGTGGTCAGCAAAACATTAATTCGAACAACCTAGCTCTTCACGGCGATGCCCTTTTTGGTCATCTTAAAACAGCGCTTTACGCAAACACTAGTGGAAATTGGGAATCCTCGTCCTATTTTCCGACTTTCACTTTGCCAAACTCGTTAAAATTGTGAATTCAGAACATCTGAAAGCTTTTGTGGTGAATTTGCACCTATGATTTGCTGCTATGTGTAGATAAAACCAATTTCAGAACAAAGGAAACTAGCACCACTTGGGTTACGATTGTACGATTTGTTCAAACGTTATGGAGTCAATCTGGAAAACGACGAAAAAGTTCGCCTATGGGAGCTTGTAGGAGAGCATGAACTCCTAGCAAAGTTGGTCTTTTTCTCTTCAGAGTTTCCAAGAACTAAAGTCATTCATTTTTCTGTGGTTAAAAGAGGGTAACAAAATCTGTTCAAAGGGGATACGGAACGTTTGTTGCTCCACATGTTTCCTAAATAGGTGATCAGTGTGAGGTTCAAGGTAGTTTAAAGTCTTCAATAGTAATAGGATCGTAGACTAGCAAAAGTATGAATATTATTAAGGCACTCTAATCTTTCGAGTGAGGCGCTCGATTACCACGATTTCTTCCCATTGGAGAGCAGCGGCATTTCATATCCTACTGCATGAGTGTCCTAATCATGTCCATTATACGTGCATTTTGTGTTCTGCTTTCAGACGTTGGATTTACGAGCCGGAAGGATTCCTGAAAATCCGCTCTGATGACGATTTGATTCGTTCTACAGACATATGGCAGATTCAACAAGTTCTTAAGAACGAGGTCTCAACTCTTCGGAGTTCGGCCTCATAAAAGCTAGTGGTGTTTAGCACTTTTCAAAATTTTTTTTGTGAAATACCTCCGCTTGTGATTCTCATGTTTCTTATTACCAAAATCTGCAGATGCGGGTTTACCCAGTTACAGCCCCGGAGAAGCTCCCCGTAAAATGTGTGTATAGTTTATTGTTTGAAAAGTGATTCTGTAAGGCCTTCATAGTTGTTGTGCATTTTTGTTTCGTCTTTTCTACTTGTGCTCTTTTGATATGATTGCTCAGATGTTGAACGGGTATTTTAGGCTTTTTAACTGTTCAGTAGTTAGTCACCCAGGTAGCCACGTTTGTTAAAGATTGTTAGATGCCGTTAGGTTGTTATTGTTGAGTTCCTCTTGTTTACCAGAACAAAGTGCAGTCGGAATGATTTGCGATGAAAATTCCACCTTTCCATCAGATTTTTTACTATCAAGCCCAATAAAATGTAATAATCAATAAAATTGAGGTTCAAATGTCGTGTCAGTCGATTTTAAAGTAACGAGCGTCTTAAAAGCGTCTACAAAAGAGCTACGGAAGAAAATGTAGTTGGAGGAGGTGGATATCCCTCGTCCCTAACACTAAGCGTTAGAGCCTATGTAATTCAGCATGCATGAAATACGACTAATAGGAAATGATCATCAATATTTGTATTTGTAATTGGAAATCGTTCATCTCTAAATATCAACACGGAATTTCATCGTAGCTATTGATGCTTTTTGACTCAAAACGAACATCTTTTAGCATTGGCAAGAAGTTCAGTGCAGAAGCAAAACAGAATGTAAGGTTAAAGCTCTGGTTTAAGTTGTGAAAAAGAAGAGTTCCTAATTCTTTATTTAATTACCTCTGCGCTCTATGGACAAGTTTTGGCAAGGCGCCAGGCTGGCCGCGCACGCTACGCGCCGCCGGCATTGCTTGTATATATAGAAGCAGGCGTAAAATATACCTCAAGTGGCTGCTTTCATACTACAACTTGTGTGCCGGCTCGGTTACGTGACTACTTGAACTTTCTCTGCATCTATGACAGCAAGAGGCTAGAGCCCAGAGAAAAACACCCCGGGTGAAGCCT